CAACTCATAGTTTACCTTCAGCGGGTTCCCTGCTGAAAAGCACAGGACAGGAGACCACCAAGCTTTCTCAGAGGAGGATAAACAGCACCAGTGGATACAGATGACATCACTAGAGCTCGCTCTGAATTTTTTTATCAGTTTGACGGGCCAAAATAAAAGTGGGGTTTGGGGCTGGTAGTTAGGCAGAATTGCTAGAGGCAGGAATTTGACAGCTGCCCCATAACATAAATAGGATTACATGATACAAAAATACGTGCCAGAAGGTGACCCAGGATGGAGAATAAGATCAGTTTTTCTGGTAACCTATTCTGAGGTTATATCAATGGTTTATTCATTGCAAATACCTTTTATAAAAATAAACCCTGACTACACAAACAAGATTGGAAGCAGGAGTGGCATCAACTTCTGAAATATCTTGCCTCTGGAAACTATCAACATGGAGAAATGATGAAAGTTATACAAGTGTTCAGGTCTTTCATTCATAGGGTCGCTATGAGTCATCTACAACTTGATGGCACTTAAGAACAATGAGAGATCTCTGTTGGCTTAGTGGATAGAAAGTTATGCTACCAAGCCAAAGGGGGTTGATTTTAATTTGCAGCCCTCAGACCTGGTTTTGTTTTTGGTCAAACATTCTTTTAAATGGTATAGCACTGGTCTGTCAATTTGCTGTACAGATGTAACTCCATGGTTGCTGTGATGGTAAACACTGTGACACTGAGGTATCAATGTGATAATGACTACCCATGATGGATAGTATTTGGTGGAGCTCCCTGATTAAAATAAGCTTGGAAGCAGGAGTGCCTCTTGAAACTTATGAACTTGGAGAAACAAAGTTACACAAGTGTTCAGGTCTTTCATTCATAGGGTTGCTATGAGTCATCTATGACTCGATGGCACTTAACAATACACACATGCACCTGATTTGATGGACAAACACAAGAATCAGATTGGCTGTATCTGTGTGTGTGTGTGTGTGTGTGTGTGTGTGTGTGTGTGTGTGTGTGAAGAACCAATAGAGAAGCTCAATATCAGCATTCAAAATAAGCCCAGGGGTTGATGTGGAGCAGGCCATTGATACCTTACTTCCAAATTCAAGTTGAAGGAATTTTAAAATAAAGCCATGAGAACAAAAAAATCCAACTTTGAGTCTATCCCAAATTAATTTAAAAACCATCTTGGAGTGTCAGAACACTTGAAAATTGGCTTTTCTAGCCATTGTGTTAGCCTCTGTGGTGCATAAACTACCTTAATTGCAGACACATGGTCTTACAAATCAACAACAGCTGCAGGACCAATGTACGTGAACACTTTCCACACTAAAAAAGTGTTGATTGTGATGGAGTGATTGTGGCAACTGTGGCACTGCTGTGAAGAGAATGTGGCAAGATGTAACCAGGGGAACTCTGGAGATAAAATACAGAGTAAAAGGTTTTGCTTGCTGGATGATTGAAGGAAAAGCTGACTTCCAATTGATCTGGATAAAGTTTGCTGAAAGATTGAGGAAACCAGAGACATCTTGCATTTATACTGATGAACTGAACCTAGACTTTGACTGGTTGACTGAGAAGCTGTCTTTCAATAATTGAGAAATTGTGTCTTGCTGTTAATCTGGTTTGGGATTGATGAACTAACACCTGGACTTGCATTGTATGATACTTTTTGCCTCCCCCAGTCTCCAACCTATATCCCTAATAAACCCCACAACTGTGAATAAAGTCTCTGAATTTTGCAACAAATATTGAACACAATGATTTGTAGGAAAAGGTGATGGAGCATGGGGGGTGGCATGTCTGACCTTGTAGCTCTTTTGGACTATGGATATTACTGATGGGGAAAGTTCCCCTTTATGAAGCAAGTAGAAGTTATACTCAGCCACCCTAATTATGCATCTCCTCCTTTTTCACATCTCTAGAATGGATTTGATGTGTTGAACACTGATGATTGAAGATACAGATGGGTTGTAAGATGACATCAAAGATACCATCCATGAAGAAAACAAAAGTTTGTTAAAGGTACAGAGGAGAAAGAAAAGACCAAAATGGATGTCAGAAAAGACTCTGAAAAGTGCACTAGAAGAGGAGCACTCAGGTGCCCTACGGGCAAGAAGCTGCACTGCAACCCCAGAGGTATGTGGCTCAAATCCACCAGATGCTCTGCTGGAGAAAGAGGGGCAATCTCCTCCTGAACCAGTCAGATCTGACTTGATGGTTTACACAAAAATAATAATAATTTAAAAATTTGTTTAAGTGCACTAGGAGAAAGGCACAAAGGGAAGTAAAAGAGATGAACAAAAGACTTTAAAGGGAAGCCTGAGAAAACAAAGTATTATATTAAAATATGCAAAGAGCTGGTGTTAGAAAAATCAAAAGGGAAGAACCAAAAAACAAATTCAGGCTTTGGGTTGCAATGCTGATGGATTCATGGGTAAGATCTTGGATGGTGCAAGAAGCATCAGATGAGCCAGTATTCTATCTATAAGAGTCGCTATACTATGTCAAATTTTTGAACACTGAAAAATTGCTGAAAGTAGTATATGGTCAGGAACCAAGGGTAATGAAGAAGTTTAAACTACCCTAAAGACAATGGCAAAAAAATAGATCCCAGGAATTAACACGTTTTCAACAAACAGATGCAACCCTGGACATGCTCATTAGTCTATGCCAAGAAATTTGAAAGACAGCTACCTAATTGACTGGAAGAGATCCCATCTAGAAAAATGTGATCAATAAAATGTGGAATTATTCAACAATATCAATACCACCTGCAAGTAAAATCTTGCTGAAGATTACTAAAAAACGGCTGGAACAGTACACCAGCAGGGAACATCCAGAGACTTCAAGCTGGGTTCAGAAGAGGATGTGGTACAAACATCCTTGCTGATGTCAGATGGAACTTGGCTGAAAGCAGAGAATTCTAGAAAGGTGTTTGTGTCTTACTGACTGTGCAAGGCATTTATGTGGATCATAACAAAGTATGGCAAAAACACTTAATTGTATTCCTGTGAAACCTTTATGTAGACCAAGAAACAGCTGTCCAAACAGAACAAGGGAACACTGCCTGGTTTAAAATCAGAAAAGGTGTGCATGGGGGTGATATCCTTTCTCCATAATTGTTCATTCTGTATGCTGAGCAACTAGTTCAAAAAACTAGATTGTGTGAAGAAGAATATGGCATCGAGATTAGGAGGAGATTCATCAACTTGTGTTATGCAGACAATGCAACTTTGCATACAGAAAGTAAAGAGTTGAAGCAGTTGCAGAAAATCAAGGACTACAGTCTTCAGAGTGGGCTGGTGGGGGAGAAAATGCAACAATGAATAAAAAATATAATAAATATTAAAAAGGATTACAGTCTTCAATGTGGATTTCATCCCAATATCAAATTTTTAAAATCCTCATCACTGAACCAATAAAGAATATCATGAAAGATGGAGAAAACTAAGTTATTGGTGAATTTTGCTTGGATTCACAATCAACACAGTACAGCAGTCAAGACATCAATATTCATTTTGAGTTGGGAAAATCCGCTGTTAAAGACAGCTTAAGAGCAAGGATGTCAGCTTAAAGACTAAGCTGATCCAAGCTGTAATTTCATTGTTTCTTGTGTAGCTTAAAGTTGGACAAGCAATAAGGATGACAAAAGGATGCTGAATTGTTCTGTTGGGGATAGGTGGACTGCAAAAAAGAACAAACAAGTCTGCCTTAGAAGAAGTTTTTGCCAGGGTTTTCCTTAGAGGCAAAGAGAGTGAAACTTCATCTCACATACTTTAGGCCTGTTGTCATGAAGAGCCAATTCTTGGAAAAAGACATGCTAGGAAATGTAGAGGATCAAAGAAAAGGAGGAAGATCTTAACAAGATAGATGGATACAGTGAGCTCAATGTGGATTTGTTGTTCATAGGGTTAACAGAGTTAGTCATCTTCATGTACAAGAACATCAAGAAGTCTTTCTCAATTATTTCTGAACACCGTTGTAAAGATTTATCCATAACACTATTACCTCAAAACCTTTCAAGATTAGTTGCATCTATTTAAGATTTTTTGGGTATAGAGAGCCTGAAAATGTCAGGGCCTCATGTAAAAGGAATGCTATCTTTACGTATATAACCCAAGTCAGCATTAAAATTAAAGAGTTCATTTGGAAAGACAGCTTTTTAAAATCCAACATGGATTCCAGACTGTTGGCAAGATTTTAAATTGAGTGAAGACTACTTTCAGATTGCACAATTTACACACAAATCAAGTGCTTCTGATTTGAGACTCATTCTTCTTGACCATAGATTTCAATTTTTAAAAATCCTTTCATCACACTTCCGTTGGCATACTACTGTCTTCTGCATCGACTGGTTAAAAGCTTTTATACCCAGTTTGGGGAGCTCTGGTGGCTTGGTGCACAGGAAGCTGCGCTGTTAAGCCAAAGATCCACAGGGGGAAATGATGGGCAGTCTCCTCCCCTGTGATTTACAGCCTCTGAAACCCAATGAAGGGTCAGTTATGAGTTGGTTCCGACTCGGTGGCACTGAGAAAGAATGGAATTCTTGACTGGCCTAATACAGATAATGACGAGGTGTCCTCTCCCGTCTTCCAGGACACAGGCCAAAGCACTCCCACCATGGACCAGGAAAGGCAGCAAAGCAGGCTGAGGTTTGTAGTCTCTTCAGAGGCCCAATCGCTGAGTTGCTCGAGGGGCACCGCCTTCCCACATCCTGTTTCAATTGGTGGTCGTTTGCGAGCTGGAGTCCAATCAAGTAGCAATAACGTGGCAGCCACCCACGAGCTCGCGTCTGTGCCGGCGCCGGCGGCAGCTAAGCCCCGCCCCCCAGCGGAGCCTACCATCCAGCGCCGATTCGGAGGGGGGAAACGGTGCTGGACTCCTGTTAGCACACCGAGGGGAGCACCGGTCTCCCCCACCTGCCATTCAATGGCGGCGCCGGCACCAAGGCCCCGCGTTCCTACCCTCTTCCGCCCTCGGGCTCCCGGACCGTGTTCCCTTTTCCCGGTGGATGCTACGTCTTTCTGAGCGCAACATGAAGGTGCTCTTTGCCGCTGCCCTCATCGCGGGCGCCGTCTTCTTCCTGCTGTTGCCAGGACCCTCCACGGCTGATGAGAAGAAGAAGGGGCCCAAAGTCACCGTCAAGGTCCGCCCTCCCCTCTCCCCACTTGCCCGGCAAGGCCCTTGGGGACTTGTCCTCCACCAAATGGAATCTGGGCCCGCGCGGCTCATCGGTGTCCGAGATGTTTGGGGTCGCAAACTTGAACTTAGATGACCTAGGCTTTGGCTCAGATCCTCTAATCTTCACGTTTCGACCTCGTGGCGCCTGGGCTGTGCTACCCATTCACATCCAAGGATGGCACTTCTAGCCCCTACCCAGACCCAGAAAGTTGGCGTTAGGGATACACGGCTAGGCCAGCCCTGCCCACCTCAGAGCAGTCTTTTTGAGGAAATAGCATGTCTGCCAGCTTCAGAATACTTTCTCTTTAGGCCATGTTGTAGTCGCTCCTAATTACAGAGCAAGCAAATAGCATTTTAAGATTATATGGCGAACTTGGGCTTTCCTTCTTATGCTTCTTTTTAAATGTTAATGTCTTGACTCTGGGTTGTATGTTGGAAACGAAGATTGCTAACCAGTAGCCTAAGGAGAGTGTAAACATAGTATCAGAGACAAGGGCCTGGAGCTTAGTGGATAAGATTTTTTTGACTCCACCGAAAGTATTCAGCTACTTTGACCTGACCCTACGCTGGGTTATATGAAGAGCCTTTCGGAGGGACTAAGGTTGAAATGGTCTTTTTCCTCAGGTGTTCTTTGACCTACGGATTGGAGATGAAGATGTAGGTCGAGTGGTCATTGGTCTCTTTGGAAAAACTGTTCCAAAAACAGTGGATAATTTCGTAGCTTTAGCTACAGGAGAGGTAAGTGGCTAGAGCAGAAATGGTCAACTCAAAGCAAACTGGACTACATTATCTTCTCCGGTAACCTCACCAACCTCTTAGTACAAACTGACTTGCCTATGGCCACTGAGAACTCAGAAATGTGGATTTTTTTTTGAGGAATTATTTTACATCATTAAAATGCTACAAATGTATAACACACTGGAACAAGGGATGCATTGCAGAATGGCCTGGGGGAGGGGGAGAGAAGGGAAAAGAAAATGTGCAAGAATAAATAAAAAATACAACTGTGTCTATTGAGCACTTAAAAAAAAAATAAAATGCTACAGTAACCAAAGATAATGTATCTTTGGAAACTAATTTGAAACCACAGCATTCTCCTAAGAATAAAGAGACCAGAGATTGTCCTTGCTTCAACGAAATTTAAAGAAACTTAAAAGTCATTGCAAGAACCGGACTCAAAGCTGACTCTTCCAGCAGGTTTTCTGAGGCAGAGAACACGTGGGCAGAGATGATTTCCCATCTCCTGCAGAGCCACTGGTGGATTCGAAACACCAGGAGGGCACAGCCTTTGGATTAGCAGTGCTGCCCCTACAGATTGGGCCACTGGGGCTCCCTACATGGAAATATAGTGTCCCATTTTGGGAAGTTTATATTCCATTTAACCTTTCCACTGGGCCAGAATGTGACCTTTTATCTTAGTCTATTTTCTTGCTAATTTCTTTTTAAGATTAGAAGAAATGAGAGGCATGACATACATTGTGTAACATGTAAGCACTGGAGTGTGGGTCTGTGTGTCCCATGCTTGACCCGTGGTAACCGTGCCCCCAGCACCACCTTGAGGAGTGTACCAGGCTCATAGTCGTCTCTGCTCTGAATAGTAGACATGTGGGGCTGGCTACTGCTGGTACTGTTTATGTCTAGTTGATGTGTAATGAGAACACTTCACCTTCCTATCCCTTTTTCTAGAAAGGGTTTGGCTATAAGGACAGCAAATTCCATCGCGTGATCAAGGACTTCATGATCCAGGGCGGAGATTTCACTCGAGGAGATGGCACTGGAGGTAACCTCTGTCCTTCTGGGTAGAGGAGTCTGTCCTCGGAGGCCCCGGGGTAGGAAGGTTGGGCTGTGCTGTGTAGACAAAGCCTCTTCTCATCCTATCTCCAGACAGACCTGTTAACCTGCATCAGAACCAGCTGCATCCTCCTTTGTTGGGGGAGCACAGTACAAAGGAGAGTGTCTAGTGATGGACAAGGGGCTCTCCCAGCCGGCAGGCCTGTCAATCCATGTCTATAACCTCATGACTTCTCTCTTGAACCTCTTGTGGGGAAGGGAGTACAGTGAAGACACTTGTGTAGTTGATTGTAGGGCAACTCTGTGTGGACCACATATACCAGCTGAGGTGGGAGACATTTACTTGATATTACCACCAGCCATTGTTCTGCATATATAGGACAGATCAGCTTTACTCTGCTGTTCCCCAGGGCCATTGCTGCAGCCGGATATGCTCTGCCAAGAGTAGCCAGGTTCCGGTGGGTGCTGAGGACACAGATCCGTGAGCAAGAGTTTGACTTCTGATCACAGAGACTCTTAAATGAGCCACAGTACAGCTGTCAGGACACAAGCTCCCTCCTGAGGTGGTTTATCATGTGGGTGAGAAGAACTGGGGGGCAAGAGGGAGAGTGACTGTGAGGCTACAGAATAAACAACTAACGTGTGTCAGGCTGGGAGAAGTGGACGGTCCATGAAAGTTACCCTCAATGAGGTGCATTGATACAGTGACTGCAACAGTGGCTTTGAACGTGGTGTGGGTCATGAGTATGGCGCAGGGTACAGCAGGGTTTCAATCTGCTTTTCATAGGGTCTCTGTAAGAGCCGTAGTTGACTGAATGGCACCAAACAACTTAACAGCTAAAGGTCGCGCTGGAGGAGACAGCACAAAGCTCGTGCTCTTGAGGCAGCCCCTCCCATGTCTGTCACCTTGCTTTGTGCCTGCACCCCTCTGAACACATGATCACACCCCTCTGAACTTCGATTTTCTACTGGGAAAATCCACCACTGCTGACAGGCAGAGGTTTCACTCCAGGCTAAGGTGATCGGACGTGGTAAGTCCAGACAGGTGGGTTAGGACCAGGCCAGTGAGGTTAGCTTTTGGCCTGTAGAGACTGGATTCCAAGGTATTTGAGGGAAAATAACGTGGCAGGATTCTCGGTATAGAGGGAGGATACTGGTTGTGGAGACAGGATTCCGGATGTGGTGGCAGGAACCGATAGATTAACTGACGTATTGGGGTGGTGGGGCCTGTAGGGTGATACAGGCCTGGTGCTAAGAGCAGCTATGTGAAAGCCAGATACATTAGCTTCTGCATCATGGGATGAGTTTTCATGTTTGTGAGATCCTTAGCACAGTCTCTGCACACTCTGTAAACATGCTGAGCGTTGGCGGATTGGAGTGGGGATAGGAGGAATGGAAAGGCGAAGATGGACGAATGGGTGGGGTGGGACGATGTTGAGCGAGCGATACACAGGGCACGTTGTCAAGAGTCAAGTCTAGGGGACAGGTAATGATAAAGTGAAGAGCTGAGTTCAACATCCATTACACCTTGTGCAAGTGTTGCAAAGGATGTGTATTTGGGGATTTTCTGGAGAGCAGCAGTAATGGAAATTCTGCACTTGGTGGAGCTCTATATATAGGATTTTCAAACAGGAAAGGCTTTTAGCCAGCACCTCAGCTGGGAGTGAGAGTCACTGCATGAAGACAGGTCATTTCCCCAGTGCGTGAGGGGAAAGGACAGGACACAGGCTGAGGCCCCTCACTCCAACCCATGTCCTAAATTTCATCAGACTGGAAGGAGCTCCTCACAGAGGTACTGGGCAACAAGAACTTGGGGGCAATCCATATCTGTGACCTCTGTAATTAGTACATTTTGGTTTTCAATCTTCCCATCTGCTATACAGTCAGCTCCCTGGTTTGCTTCAGTCTAGGACTCTGCACTGGATCCATGTATGGAAGGAGCAGGTAGGGAGAGCCTGCAGATACAGGGTCCACATGCTCAGTGCTAATCAGTCAGCGGTTCACACCCACCAGCTGTTCCTCAGCAGGACTATGTAACTGCTTGCTTCCATCTGAGGCAACTCCACTCTGTCCGACAGGGTCACCCAGTCAGCAGGTTTAGTTTGAGGGGGCAGAGGGATTCGTAAACAAGAGAGTTCAGGAAGTGTTGAGTAAAACAAAATAAGAAGGACTTCTTTATTGCTGGGGTTCTTGGGGCTTTTAATATACACTAACACACTCTCCAAGAAGTAATAGAAAAGGTGTACGGTGCTTCTGCAAACCTTCTGTCGCAAAGAGCCCTTGATTTGTTTCCATTATCTCTTAGAACCAGTTTTGGGAAGTAAGGTTAGCATCTGTAGAGATGTGGAGATCCTCAGGCCCCGTGTGCCCCGGCTCCCACATGCATGCACACACACATTCAGAGTGGCTTTTTTTATGTTCGGTCATTTTGATAAGCTTCCAATTCCCCAGAGCCCCTTGGCAGCCACCCTCCTCCGCCCTTTACCTCACTATCCACCCATCTTTCTGTCTGCTTTTTGCTCTGCAGTTTCTTTTATGCCTCTCAGCTGGTAGGAACACAGCCATTCAGCCATTGCAGTTCTCACTCCCAGCTGGGGTGCTGGCTAAAAGCCTCTCCTGTTTGAAAATCCTATATATAGAGCTCCACCCTGTGTCCTAGGAGCACAGCACCTCTCTTCCCCCAAAACTCTCCAAGGCAGGTCTGTGGGCTACTGCCAGTGATAGCTGATATCTTACTTAAAATCCATGAAACTGTTCACACTCATTCATCATATGAGCGTTTCGATCAGCCTGGCTTTACATCCCAATTGGTCTCGGTTAAGTACAGTTTAGCTCTCAGCACGTAGTGACAGGAACAGAGCAGCTTTATGTCCTTGATTCTGCTGGACCAGGACACTGGAGATGGGTTGAGCCTGAAAAATTCATCCGCCAGCCTTGAACTAACGCAGCTTCCCCCACAACCCTAATCTGTGGTTCCCTTTCTTATCCCAGGAAAGAGCATCTATGGTGAACGCTTCCCTGATGAAAACTTCAAGCTGAAACACTACGGGCCTGGCTGGGTCAGCATGGCCAACGCAGGCAAGGACACCAATGGCTCACAGTTCTTTATCACGACAGTCAAGACCTCCTGGCTCGATGGCAAGCACGTAGTGTTTGGCAAAGTTCTAGAAGGAATGGTGAGTTCTGGAGACTGGGGCCGGGCCCTGGGTCGGAACTTCATTTTTTCCATCCCTTTCCTAAGAGAACCAAACTACAAGCTTAAAACGGTGCTCATGTGCAGCGTGCAGTGTGCCAGGGATGACCAAGAGTAAATATCCTGTGTCTTGGTACTCCTCAGACCCTAAGCCCGTCTAGGCCCTGTGCAGAGCGCAGCTGGAAGGCCTTGCTGGATGCATAGCTGCAGAGCCCTCCTTTTGTTCCTGCAGTGATGTGCGTGTTCCCTCTGCTGACTTGCCTCACTGGACTCTGTTTCTCTGAAAGCCGCCTGATGCCACACTCCCTGGCTACTCCCTTTCCTCCTGCTTGGTCCAGCCTGGATCTCCCTTCAGAGGAATCCAGCTGTGGCTTCTCCTTCTTGGCCCTGCCCTGGTCCCAAGTTCATCAGCATTTCGATTCCTCAGGGTTTGATAGAGGTTTTGTCTGTCATGGGTAGGTAGGTCCCTTACCCACTGGAGTGGCCTCCTGACACACTCGCCCTCTCTCTCCTCCTTTCCTTCAAGGATGTAGTCCGCAAGGTGGAGAGCACCAAGACAGACAGTCGGGACAAGCCGCTGAAAGATGTGATCATTGCAGACTGTGGCAAGATTGAGGTGGAGAAGCCCTTTGCTATTGCCAAGGAGTAGGAGCTGGGGACCTCTTTCCATTGAGGGACCTTCTGTGTGGTACAGCTGGCCCGCCACAGGGCTCCGGCTACACTGGCCCCAGTTCTGGCATCTAGCAGTGGACCCGCATCCCCACATTCCACAGGCCCAGTTTTGTAACAAATTCCTACCAACGCTGACCAATAAACAAAGGTGGGGTGATTTTTTTTTTATATACCCTGCGTGTGGGCTGGGTTCTTGGCTGGCAACGCCTACCCCCAAGTCTGTGTCCCAGTACATCCCTGATTCTCCGTGGCTTCAATGACAGTTGACAGTGCCCTGTCCTCAGACTCCTGCCTGAAACCCTCACCCTGCTCAGGTCCACCAGGTCAGGCAGGCACTTTTTACACCTTGCTTCTAAACTTTGCCAGCTATCCCACCTCAACCTTTGTTGTTTCTGACTAGTTAGTGTTATTTTTCCCTGTGGTCTAGGTTAAGAAATACCTTTTCTACTTCTTCACAGCCTACTTCTGTATTAACTTCTCCCTGATGCCTGATTTCTTAGCCTCTGTGCTGTTAGAACACATGATTTCTAGTTCCCCAACTGTCAGCAAAGGCAGAGCCCTGAGCCTGGGTGAGTGAGAACCAAGTCCAGGACAGGGAGGACCTTGGCCCCTTACATGGAGCTCATCAGGCTAAGGCACTTGACTGTCCTAACAGGTGTCCCAAAGGCCTCTGGGTTGGTCACGGCATCGATGACAGAGGAGCAGAGTGACACGCATCCTCCGGCTGGACTTGGACAGGGCTGATGCTGAAACTGTAGAGGCCCTGGAGCACACCGTTCACCACCACGTTAGGCAGGGGCTCTGGGATGGAAGTGAAGCAGAATACTGGGGAAGAGGCTGGCCCCAGGCCTGCAGCTCACCAGCTGACCACCCCGAGCAAGGGTCAGTCCTTTCACAGCAACCCTGGTAAGGCCAGGCTGCCGTGGACTGGCACCTCCTGCAGAACACAGGGGCACGAGTGGCCCCAAAAGAGGCCAGCAGGAAGGAGATACGTCCTGGAAGGAGATACGTCCTGGAGGCCCTAGCAGCCCAGGTGGCTAAGGTTTCCCCTTAGGTCTTCCCCACTCTGGTGCTGGGGCCCTCCATATGGAGGGTGGGTGGGAATGAGTCGCTCACCTGAGGAGGGGGTGTAAAGGTAGGGGTCCATACAGAAGCTGATGACAGGCCGGTGGCGCAGCTGAGAGCTAAGAGAGAAGAGTCATGAAACACTGTGATGGGGTGGGCTCTAGACGGTGAAGTGAGTGGGGACTATTCTTGTGAGGCAACAAGGGAAAAACCTGGGTCAGTGACAGGCTGCCCTGAGGCCAGAGACTGCAGCCCACTTCCTGGCATCTGGCCGCCAGGGGGCAGCAGGAGCGCGATGTGGGCGGGACTCGGACTTGCCTGCTGTTGCTGGGCAGGAACTCCCCCAGGGCGCTGAAAAGGAGACAGAGGCCAGTAAGCTAGTTGGGGATGCTCAGGGGAGCGTGAGGATGAGAGGAAAACAAGCCCAGCCTCACCTCCCAGGGGACCACTGCTTCTATTTGTAACAAGCCCAGTCCCCGGGGCTGGCTGGGGTAACAAGGCTGTCCAGAAAACGGTCCCACCAAGGGCTCAAAGTTTATGACTGTAGCAGTAACAACAACCAGAAATATGTGTGATTATACAGGTAGGTATGTGTGCAGGAAGGTATTCCCGGGCCAGTAGAGTGGTACCGGTAGGTGTGTATATATTTGTGTATGTTGTGTGTGCCATTGAGTTGTAAACAACTTATAGCTGACTCTCTAGTGGGTTTTGAGAGATAGTAAATCTCATGGGAGGAGGTTATACAAATATATACATAATCTATGTGCTATACATATTTCCATATTGTTACGTGCCATCAAGTTGCCTGCAACTCAGTGCCCCTCTGTACAACAGCCCTATACCCTACTCTATCCTGTGCAAACCTTACTGTTTTTGACACATCTACCCAATCACTGAATCAATCCGTCTCATCGAGGGTCTTCTCCGGCACTGTCCCTCCACCCTCCCAAGCCTGATGTCCCTCTCCAAGGACTGGTCCCTCCTTGCAACATGTCACAAAGTATGTCAGATGAAGCTCAAAGTCCTTGTCTCCAAGGAGCAGCCTAGTCTTACCCTCTCTAGGACAGACCTGTTTGTTTTCTTTGCAGTCCATGGTATATTCAATACTTTCTATGGTCCCACAGCTCAAAAGCATCAATTCTCCTTCTATCATGTTTAAAATTATGCTCATGGGGGGCACAGTTACGGAGGCTTCCTAGACATACACAGTTCTCTGGATAGATCTACTAAGTTAAAATTCCTAGGACAAGTTAGTCAACTGGCATGACAGTCTACACTCTATTTTGTTCTACACTCTATTTTGATGAGTAGCATTTGGGATCTGAAAAGCTTTTGCAAGTAGTCATTTAAGCTCCAATACTGGTATCTACTTGCCTGGGACAAAAAAGAAGGAGTCTCCACCTGGACTAACAGGCTACAGCCTCTGCTGACCTGTGACCATCACTGGATGATGCTCAACTCTCACTACTGCCTCTTCTGACCAAGGATGTGACTAGGCCTCAGAATGAAGAAAAATGCAGAGCAAATTAATCCAAAACCATCCAGGCCTTCTGAACCCAGAGAAACTAGAAGTAGCCCTGAGACAATAGCCTAAGATAACCCTTGAACTTGACACTGAAACTACCTCCCAGAAATACCTTTCAGCCAAATAATGGATTTCCTTCTAAAAATAAACAGCATCACCCATGAGAAAGTGCTCCCTTAAACAATCAAGTAAGTCCAGAAGGTCAACATTTAACCGAAAGCACAGAAGAGAACATAAGGAGGGCAAAGAGCTAAATCAATAAAAACAGAATAAACAATGAAAATCATGAGTATGTTGTGGAAATTGTAGCCAATGTTATATAAAAATTGCTAAATGGGAATCCAGGTTACTTTGTACACTTTCACTTAAAACAATGTGTTATAAAAAGCTGGTGAAGGAGGCAGGCCTCTGGAGGAGTATCCAGGCCAGAGCCTGGGATATGGGTGGAGCAGAAATGGGCGTTGGCTCCCAACCTTCCCTCTCACATGAACCGCCCCTCCAACTCTGGCCTCTCCCTTGCTAAACCTTGATCCCTGAAATGCTCACCCCCAGCTGTGGGCCTTGGGGTCCGCAGGGAAATGCCGGAGTCTCAGGAATTCCAGGAGCTCCTTGGGTACATCCTGGTTTAGGTACAGTACGCCCTGGAGAGGGGGGACAGTGGAAGCCTGTAATTAGACCCAGCCTGTGATTTGTAGAGCCTAGTGCAAAATGAAAATGTGGGGCCCATGGTTCAAAAATGAGTAAGAATTTCAAGAGAGCATTAAACTAAACTCAGAGCCCTTCTGAACACCAGCCTGTGTGGCCCCCTTCCCTCAGAAAATCAGGGAATCAACTTTTGAGTTGGGACCATCTGCCTTGGGGTTCCCTCCTTAAATCCTTGCACCAGGTCAGCCAGGGATATTTGGACCATCATTCAGTAAATCTGAGACTAACATTTGAAGGCAGGGGTCCCTTCCCTGCTCCACAGTCACGCAATCACACCTCTGGCCCAGCTGACTTGGTGGGTGCCCCACACAATGATGGATCACCCAGTAGGCACAGTATGCACGGGCTCACTTGTGCTATTCACTAACCTGGAGTGAACAATTTTTATGTTTTTCCATCACATCAAAGATTCTGCTGCTAGACAGCCTACATACAGGCAACAACTTTACAACTCCTGGAAGGGGCCGGGTATTCAGTAAACAGGGAAGTCTTATTGACCTTCACAGTTGCTACTCCATCCAAGGTTTTCAGAAGCAGTAAATCACACGTGAAGAGACTGCCCACCTTACTCCCGTGGAGCATCTGGTGGATTTGAACTGAGTGCTTTTGGACTGGCAGCGTTGCTCCTTATCACCAGGCCACCAGAGCTCCCTAGCACGGGCTTACTTTTTGCCTATTTACTAATCTATAGGGACCAGCTTCACATGCTTCCACCACATTGACCTGGGTTTGTTCAGATACCTGAATGTAGGCTTCCAGGCCCTGCCGCCGCTGCTCCAGTCCCCTTGTCCTCCAGTTGGGTAGACGCTTCGAGGGGAAATCAGGCACTTTGTACAATTTCTTCATCTGCCGCGGGTTGGTTATGGGGAGTGGTCACAGCTACCTGACTGCAACTTCAAGCCCACTCTCCACCCTCAGCAAAAGCCCTTCTACCTCTCCCCCCTTTCCGAGCTCTACCCTAGGAGGGACCTAGGTGATGACGGTGGGGGTGAGAGAGACTCCAGGTCCCCCTGATGTCCGAGGGTGGGCCGGTTGCCCAAGGGCCTGGTCAGTGCGGGGCTGTGTCCTCCCTCCCCTCCCGTCCACGCCTGCAGCCCGCCACTGGCCTCTTGGGCAGCCCAGGACCTGTCCCTCCGGGGCCTGGGGCCTCCGCTCGCCCGCGGTCTCCTCACCCGCTTGTGCAGCGCGTGGAACTCGCTGAAGCGCCTCGGGACGGTGTGTCTGCGCCCGCGGCACAGCACCTCCACCCGGAATACCTGCAAGGAGGGCGGCGGGCGCCGTGAGGTCAGCCAAGGACGCACAGAGCCGGCGCTCAAAAGCCACAAAGCGGCCCTGGAGAGGCCCCACTCTCCCGGGACCCTCGCGCACCCACTCCTCTGCTCTGTGCCCGCTTTTCCAGTGTCCACGGGGCCGACGAGGTGACAAACCCCCGACAAGGTGTCCCCCGACAGCCTGGTCCGCCGAGCACGGACGTCCACGCCAGGGCGCAGGGTCCCCACTGCGCTCCTCGCGGGGAAATATGCCGGCGGGTCCCCGCACCCCTTCCACCCCAGCGCCCCCTTCACCATGTGGCCCTTCTCTGGGCTCTGCTTGGACTCCTCGGCCTCGGGCCCCACAGACGGAATGTGAACTTCCAGCATCGGCGCCCCGCCAGCTGCCCGCTCCACGCTGGATGACCGAGCTCCCCGCGCGCAGACAGCGGACCCCGTACAGACCACGCCCACGGTGGGACACGCCTCCCGTCGGGCACGCCCCCTGCCGGCCCCGCCCTGGGCGCCCGTGAGCAGCTCCTGCGCCCGGAGATTAAACGGGCTCAGCCCGGAGGTGAGGCCGCCACGCAGGTGGAGCCTTCGCCCGCGTTTGTCCAGTAGCGCCCACTTCGCTGCAAGGAAGGCGGGCGAGTCAATATTTCACCTACTCTTTGTTGAGCGCTTTCTAAAGGGTCAGTGGATGCCAGCCGTGCGCTGCGCAGACACGAGCCCTAGTCCTCTGTGCCTGCCTGGGGGCCAATCGAGGACGTTCTCTGCGTTCCTCAGACCCTTCCCAGGACACAAGCAGGCAGACCTCTGTCCTCTTTAGTTCACTTTCAAGGTTGAGCCTGGGCTAGAATCACCATCACTTTTTGGGAACGGTGGGCTGGAGACCCCAACTGAGGCTATGCCTAATGCTAGAACCCAGCCTGGCTTTTTAACTTCCTCCCAGCACCCCCAGGCCAGTCCATCTGTCCAGCAACCCTACCACCCTCCCACCCGCTTGTCCCTATGAACCTGCTCCCTGGGTAGCATACTGCAGGGGTAGAGGTAGTTTAGAGGAACAAGTTCTGGTTTGAAGGTCAGAGAATATGGATTTCTGGAACTGTGTTAGACGTGGGTTCATGGATATGATAGGAAAAATATACCTCCCTCAAGAAATTTTAAAAATTGAGTGAGATTAAAAAAAAAAAGAGTGATAAACCTTTAGCAGATAGAATCCATGGCAGCTTGACTGGCTGGCCCTGGTGGGTTAGATAAGTGATGGTGACGGTGAAGGAAGAGAGATTGTCTGAGAAGGCACCAGCTGCTCTTGACCACCCCTCTGGGTAGTCTTTCTGGACCTGTGGCAGGATTTTGTTGTGAACATTCACACCTTGTGCTGCTGTCCCCTCTTAGCCTCTCCCCTTGCCAAGTCAGAGGAAGTTCCTCCACTTCAGCAGCCCCAAGGCAATGCCTTCTACTCCACTGACCCTCCCCTTCAAAGGCCCTGAGTACCAGAGGGCAGAGCCTGCCTTTCAAGAACTCACAAGCAGTGGGGACTCTGAGATGGGAAAGAGGAAGAAATGTGCCCGTCTTCGGGGCCATGGAGAAAGGTACTGAATGACCCCTTTCCTTGCTGAGCTGGAGCAGAAAAATCTCAATTCCAGTTTTGCCCCCAGAAAGCAAGTGACAAGAGAATGATCCCACAAGGTGGCCAACAAGCTTCTCACAAGTACCATCTCCGGCATGTTCTTCCCCCAACATGCTTCTTGCATGGGCCCCAGAATCAAGAAGCTGAAACGTCCAGGAACCTACTGTGGTCTTCTGGAAGGGAAATGACCCACCATGAAGAGAAGTGCTGGGTTTCATTTCTTCCCTGGCACCACAGGGTCCCATCATTTAGGGACCTAGCTTTCCTTGACCCACAGGACCTTTACCACATTTTCTCTTCTGTGGCCCTCACACCTCTCCACAGAGTCTACTGAGTGCTTGTCCCTCCACCTTTTAACTCTTCTTAACCAGAAAACTGTGATGGCCTCTAATGGGTCTTCCTGTATTTATTTTGTCCCATTTTTACCATACATGGTCCACTCTCTACCTAGTAGTAGAAAGTGTCACCAACACCTTTGCTTAAAACCCTCCAAGAATTTCTCTTTCACTTAGAAATAAAACCTACTGTCTACAAAGCTCTCTGCCTCCTGTCCCATCCACTCTCCGCCTTGAGCACTAAGCCCCAGCTAGTTATCATCTTCCAGTTCTTTAGATCAGCAGCTTTGTCCACCTCAGGGCCTTCATATCTGCTGCTTTATCTACCTGAAACAGTTCCTCCTAACTCTTCACCTAGTGAAGAGTCCTCCATCCTTCAAATTTCAACCTTAAACTTACCCATTACCCTATCATCTGTCTGTGTATGCACTTTACTACAGTCCTTAATTATGGTTTAATACCCCCCTCTTGACCTCCTCTACACTCTATCATACTAAGGGACCTCTTCTGTCAGTGGGGGGACCTCTTCTGTCAGTGGGAGTTCTCGCCCCTCAGTAGTTATGGATACAGAGCTTCTCTGTCAGATGCTGCACTCTCAGATCAAGACAGACTAGTCAGAAGAACTGGCCATCCACTTCTGAAATAACAGATGGTGGAGAAATTCTGAAAAATAGATCACCCTGAGACTACTAGATAGAGCACTGGAGGCTCAGCACTCATATTGGGAAACAGGAACAGCAGAAGGCACTCACAAACTAAGGAGAGGCAGGGTGGAGAAACCTGGAAGAAAGAAGGAAGAGAGTAGGGCCTTCAGGACAAGACGTCCATTTCTAGACTTCCACATGGGACGCTCCAGGAGCCCCCCTAGGGAGCGTGGACATAATGCACCCGCTGTACAGACGTGGGGTCCACGGCTGGCTGAGGACCAGCGTCCCAGGTGATGGAGGCTGACATGAATATGCAGCCCCCGATGACACCCCTATTCCGGCAGGTGGCGCCCCCAAGCAGGTTGGCTCCATCTCAGCTCTGGGGTCTTGGCTGGGCTCTCACTTTGTGCACAAAGCCGCTTTCACAGCCAGGCTGCACTGGGCCCTGAGGCGGCTCAGAAGAGTGAGTTCACCCCACTAAGAAAACAAACAGCCGTGGGTTGTGGCACAAAGGCAGGATTCTTACCCTTGCAAACTGCTGGCTGTGGGGTGCCACTGGGAGGGTGGGGGCCAGCCACTGGGACCCACCCAGCCTGTCCTGGTCACCGGTGTGACCCTCAGTACCCGTATTTGTAGTTGCCATGTGGGTTAAACGAGAGAGGCTGTCCTTGCTGAGTTCAGCATGGAGGCTGACATTAACTATTGTTGGGTGCTGGGGAGTTGATTTCGACTCACAGGGACCCTCTGCCCAGAGGGCAGGTCCTGCGCCTTCCTCACTACCTTGCGACCACTGTGTCAATTGCAGTTTTGGTAAATCCAGCACAGTGGGGCGACTGAATTCTAATATAGTTACTGATTCGCTTTTTGAAATTACAAAATTCTACTTTTTTTTTCTCTTCAGTATCCTGTAATTGCAAGGTTAGCTTGAAACCAAAACCATTTCAACTGCTGTGAACAGAATCTTCCAGACTTTCTCAATATTGAGCAACCAAAGGGCGGGGAAAGGCAAAGAAATAACCTGTAGTGGTTGATGTTCAACCAGCTATCCTGGTCTTATTCCAGCCGGCCTCAGGATTCTTACCAATTGTCTTTACTACACTTGATACATTTTAAATACTTTCATACAAAGATTTTGTTTTGATTGTTGGATTTCAGCATAAGATGTCTTAAAAGTAGCTCTGCAAAAACATTTTAAATGACTGAGCCGGAGAGCTCTGATGGTGTAATGGTTGAAGCTGTGGTTAGAACCTATTGGCTGCTCTGTGGGAAAGAGAAGAAACACCTGCTTCCCTATGGCCTACAGCCCTGAGCACTCCATGGGGCCCTTCTGCTTTGTTTTGGGGGGTCACTCTGTATTGGGATTGTCCCGACAGTGGCGGGAGAAGCTCAACTTTTCATTTTATGGATGGAGACACATGTGAGGAAGGGAAGTGGTTCTTGAAGGCAGATCAGGCTCGTGTCCGACCTCAGCACAGAGCAAAGCTTGGCGTAGGGCAAGCTGGCAACCTACTTTCTGGGGAATAGCAAGCTCTGGCCAGCAGTCACTGTCAGAACTCTAGGGGTCACTTGTCCCCTGCACAGACATGACAGAGGCAGCTCACCTGCTTTAGACAACAAAACCTGGTGCTGGCTGGGGGTGCACTGATTGTGCACCCATACAACTCCCAACTCTTCATAGAGCAAGATGTCAGCTGTCCTCTGGTGGGACCAGCGCCAAGGTTCAAGGAACAGACACTTGGGTAACTTTGAGTAATAATGTCTTTGTTGCGAAGAAAGCTTTGGAGGCAATGACAAGAAGAAAAGGCAGGCCACATAGGAAGAGGCCATAGTGCCAGGTCATCAGATGACTAGAGGTGACCCAACTCCCATTCTAGTCCTGGCTTCCATTTGTGGATTCTGAGTGAGTGGAGTTTGCAATCTCTGCCACTAATGATCTTATTACTCACTGAAGCTGCTTATCTTCCAGACACGGCTCCTGCAACCCAATGGGACATTCCACTGTGCACTTCTGGGGCGACAGTACTTCTGGGAGTCAGAGCAGCTCACCTGACCGTGCCCAGCTGGGCAAAATGGGACTTCCCTTTACAGGGAACAGCATAGTGGGTTATGTCAAGGATTCTCTTGTCCATCCATCTTGGTTGTGTGGATATGGGGTGGTAGATAAATTCTACCAAGCCGACTGGGTTCAAGTTTAGCTCAGTGGTGGGACCATGGGGAAGCTGCTTAAGTTCTCTGAACCTCAGTCTCTTAATGTAGAAAATAGGACTTCAAGGCTGCAGTGCTGGGGTTGTTGCTGTTGTGACTGCATGTGTGCAGAGAACTGCTCTGCAGGTTTACAAAGTGGTGATCTCTTGGAAGCCTATCACTGGCTGAGTCCCAGGAGGCCTCTTGTTGGCTTCTAACCCCTCCACCACCTTTTTGCTAAGAATCAAGCACTTACTTGCATCACCCAGGCATTCACCTCAGAGCAACGAATGGCCCACCAGGGTCCAAGACACAGAAGCAGGTAGCTACACTTTCCTCCCAAGCAGCTGGTGGACTTGAAGTGCCCACCTTCCCATGAACTACCATTTAACTGCTGTGCCACCCTGAGCAGAGTATGGGCTCAGAGCAGTAACAAGATGGCAACTCTTCATAATTGAGAGGCTATCAGGCTCTGGGGTGGGAGGGGACCCACATTTCTGAGGGGAGACCTACCAGTGTGGCCCCTGTGATTGTTCCTACAGCCACTCATAATGCAAGAGGAAGCAGAGAACTCTAAGGCTTGGAGGGGTA